ATGAGTTTCAACTTTAATGTAGCTCAAATTAAAATAAAATAATAACTATACTACGAAACTTGAAAGTGAATTTTATTTGAAGAAAACCTTGATATTTTGGTCACTGAATAAAAGCTTACTCATAATAAAACACAATCAAATATTGTTGACATTGAAGATAGAGATAAAAATCATGTTGATGATGTCACTATTATTTAGTGTTTAGTTTATACTTTGTATGATATTTAGGATAATGACTTGGTTTGGTTTAGTTTTAAAAATCTAGATAACAATTTAACATTTTGGTTTATTAGTATTAATTACTCAAAGTTTGATTTTTATGAAGTCTATTGTTTTACTTTTATGCATATCAAAAAATTTAAATGGACTAAAATCCTGTGGGCCACCTTGAGCCTGCCTATACAAGGGTCGGGCTTTGTAAAATGGATACTTTTTTATACACAAGTCTAAACAAGCTAGCTTGTTTACACCTATGGCTCTATAAGGTTAGCCCGACCTATTTTTTTAGTACTATTTACCTCGTATTTTGTAAATCATAATTAAAAAGTTACTTATAAATCTTTTCAAACGAATCCAAATTAAAGTGGACCTGTTCAAAATTTTTTTTCTATTCATATTATTCAAATCTACAATATTAAGGAGTATAGAGCTATTTATTTTTATTTTTATTTTTTCAACTTGATCCAAATATGATAGATAAATTTACTCTCGATTTTAATTCTAGCTAATAAAATTATATGGAGAAACTCGAGAAAATGTTGATACATGTGCTATACATACATATATATATATATATATATATACTCCTCCAGTTTTAAATGTAAAATATTTATACATATTAGTATAATAGTCTAATATTTAGGATCGGAGGAGTATATATATTTGCTCATTGACATCTACATATATTTTGATTTGCTAATGACAATTCTCCAAACTTTTTGGCCATTCACGGATTAAAAAATGCTTCCTGTGGGTAACGTGGAGCTCCAACTTGCCTGCATTATTTTATTATTTATTAATTAATCACTGATGAGATCAGCGTTATGAATCTTTAAAAAGCAGATAAGGACGTCTTATCCCCCTTTTTGTTAAAAAAGTCCAGATTAAAATTTTAGTCTATAAAATTCTTTTTTTTTTTTTTACCAACAGAAATATTGAATCACTCGCTATATTCCGATTTTACATCAAAATGAAAATTTATTTATTTCTATTAACCACTGTTAAAATAGTAAAAACAAATATAGAGGAGGGTGTTTTTCCAATATTTTTTTTAACATTGCAAATTCTTTTAAATTTATTAATGTTAGGAATTATTTGAAGCTTTTATTCATCCCCTTAAACACATTATTTTAATTATTAGAATGAAAATAAATAGCAATCCATTTTTTTTTTGTTATGTCTATTTCAAATCAATAAAATTGACAATGTGACTGTGAGAAGCACCCAACCGGATGGTGACGGCTGAGGGGAGGAAGGGGTTCAGAATGTCACATAATACATAACTTTTGCAAATCGCCCACAAATTATTATTATTATTACTACTACTACTATTATTATTGTGATGTAGAACTGTAAATTACCTTAAATCTATTCAATTTGTTTGCTTAATCTCGGTGAGTCTCCATGAAATGATCTGATGAATATTTTAGCTTTTCATGATTTCCATACAGCATATAATTAATTTGATATTTTATATTAATTACTATCTATAGTCCTTAATGTAAGAGTTAATTAGGGATTCAGTTTGATCCCCAATTTTTCAATATTTATTCATTTTAACTTTAAGTAATTTCTATGATAATTATATAGACAATATCTATTTATTACAAGTAACTAACTTAACTCTTTTTTTATATTTGTAAATTAATTATCTAGCTTTTATATTAAGAATTGGAGGTAGTATTTCATATTTAGTACTTGATGATTGTTCGAAAGAGGCTAACAATGGTCATCCCTCGATGGATAAGCTTCTGCTTTTGTTTGAGTCCTTAATCTTGAATTTCTTGTTTTTTTTTCCAATTTATGTTGGTTGTTCTATTTTTCTTAAGTTCTTTTTAATTGTCATTGAGCTTTTATGTTTTCTTTGACGATTTTATAGTGTATAAGAGCCCAATTATATATCTTTTTTTAAAAAATAAAATTGTCTTTATTCAAAAGAAAAATTCTGAAAAAAACTACTGAATTTTAAAATTTTAAATCAGTATTGTTTGCTAATAACAATTGACTACACTTTAAAACCAAATGATAACACTTTTTTTAGTAATTACTGACTTGAAATTTTAAAATTTAGAAGTATGTTTTTAATTTTTTTTGTTAAAAGTATTACAAGCATTACTCTTCTTCGTCTCCTCCAATCTCCTTTCTTGTTTCCTCTTCCATGCCTCTTCTCGTCTTTGTCTAGGTTGCCCCTAGTGTAGGTCCTCTTTGTTCAGGTCGCCTCTGTCGTGATTTTTTTTTTTTTTAAATTTTGAATTTCATATTAATTCCACATGTATTTGACTCGGCAATCACAATGACACATTATCATTTGTGGCAAACTTCACATAAGAAACGGTGGATTAGGTTAATATAAAATTTTAAACTTAAATTATAATTTGAACAATTAAACCAGAAAATTAGAGATATCATCGGAAGTTTTGGAAGATAAGAAAAGCAGCACACCCATGATTTATATTAGTTTGATTTTATTAATCACGTGACCCACGTTTAATTCCTAAAACATTTTTGAAAGTTCTACTATCTTTTTCAAGATTTATTGGATTCTCATACCTTAATACATCAACCATAGGCTAACTACATCTTTATAAGCTCTCTCTTACAATTTGTAAGAGCATATCCAATCCTCTCAAGATTCCCATTATCTTATGAGTCATTCACATGTGTAATAAATAACATCGACAAATGAACTCTCTCAAAGAATTGAATGAAGATAATTATTAGAGAAGAGAGAATATGTCAATATGAGCTTTTAATTAAATGTACATCATTAAAGAAGATAATTTTAAACATTCGTGCCTGCCAACCATTTCTTAATTATTTTGTTGTTTCAAAGATTAAAAATGATCAGGTTTAGCAAATTCCTCAGCTACCCTTCCTTCCTTCTTTCTCTCCATGCACAACCTTAATACCTGGCTGCTTTTCTCCTCTTTTTTTCAGACTCTCTGCATTCTTTCTTTGTTCCATCATAGATTTCCTCACTTTCTCCATAAATTGACTACCTTTATTCAGGAACTACCATTGAAGCGCGTCGTCAATCCCTCCCCATTTTGTTTCTAGATACTGAAGACTGTAGTAGATAGATAAAATCGCACCAGAGAATGAGGCACTCTCAAAACCTATGACTTCGTGGCTCTGTCTCTTCTCAAATGTTGATAATATGGCATTTTTTCCCCCTCATTCTTACTCTTCTACTAATATGGCATCCTCCATCACCCTGTTGAATATAGGGAAAATTACTGTAGAGTCCCACAGAAGACAATTTACTACCAGAAGGTCCCATGAAATCAGAAAATGTATATGAGGTCCCAAGGGACCTTATAGCAAAAAATTTGAAACTTGCAATTACTTTCTTGCCCTTTTGATTAGAGAAAGTAACCGAAGCACACTCAAAATCGTTTCGGTTTTCATCTTCGCGAAATCGGCCGCGCGCTCACACTCCGTCGCCCGCTCACACTCCGCCGCCGTGTCGTTGGTGCTTTATCCTTGTGTGCTCCGACAGGTTCAATCTCCGACGAGGTCTGTTAGTTTTTGGTTGGTACATTGTCGGTCGCTGCTCCGCATTCGGTCACTCTCTGGTCCGACGCCTTCAATCCCCTGCGCGGTCCATCGGTCTCGGGTCTGCACGCCGTCAGTCTCTCGTCCGCAGTCCGTCGGTCTCTCGTCCGCCCGCCGTCGCCGTCTTCTCCGACGCATTGAACGGTTTCAATCTCCAGCACGGTCCGGCCGACTCTGCTCAGCACTCCATCCCTCTCTGGTCCGCACTCTGTTGCCGTCTGCTCCGACGCCGTGAACTCTCTGGTACAGTCCGGTGGTCTCTCTACTAACGCCTCAATCTCCAGACAACTAGTCTCTCTCGGTTAGAATATTTGACAATTTCAAGCTTCTTGGTCATATTTTGAAAAATGTTTGGTTTGGAATGTTTGAACATTTGAATTGTTGATTGTTCGTAAAAGCTGCTCGATGACCTGAAGTGGTTTGGAATGTTCGGTTGTTTCGTGTGTTTATATATGGAACCAGTGATAACCGTGACTTGTATTTTCACTGTGATATTAGAAATGTGAAGTATGTTGATATTACAATGATCTGACATGCGAATCAAAGTTAGGGGCAAAAGTTGGGGCTGGTTGGTACTAAGTTATATTAGAGATCAGTTTGAAGAACACTGGTTAAAATTGTCAAAAATTTGATTTGGTAGAGCTTTTTAAATGCAGCAATCAGTTATTGTTAATATTGCTGAATTAAAAGGGAGAACTTTATGTAATTGATTTGTTCGGCAATAAAATAATAAAGGTTTTGTTTGGCTTTTTATGGTGGGCTCCATGGTGGAATGTTAATTTGGCCATAAGGTCAGAAAGGGAATTGCTTGTTGGATATAGCACCTATTGGCTCTATACTATAACCAATGAAGGGAAATTCATTCTGGTGGATTGATTTGTGATCCATATTATTTACTGCCGTTCATTGCTTTCTGTCATCCAAAGGGATATATTTTGATTTTGTTGATTAGTGAATAATTTGGTGGTGTTGAAGATACTTACTATTTTAAAATATATGTTGATGACAGTATTTTTTTTCCTTTTTGCAGTCGAACAAAATGACTAAAAAGAGTAAGAGTAAAGATGGACAAAGGGCTAGGAATTTCTCTGGATACATATTATTCACTGAAGAGTTTTATGAGCAGAACAAGAAGAAGTTTAAGTCTTTTGAAGAGGGCACTAACTCTGTGAAAAGGGCTTGGGGGAACTTAACAGAAGAGGAGAAAGAACAATATAGTGAAAGGGCTAAAGAAATGAGAGTCCCACCAAAAGGGAAGAATTATATTGTTCCCTTTCACACACGCTGTGCTCCGGGACAATTTATGGAAGTCTGCAAGCAATTAAAGAAAAGTAAAGATAAGATGGAAAGACTGAAAAGAATTGGTTTTGATAAATTGGTTGACATATGCTGCTCACAGATCTATAGAGATTTTTGTGGTGAATTGATCCGTGTGTTTGACCCTGTAAGTAGGCAAATTTCAATTCGAGGGAAGACGCATTTAGTGGGGCCCGAAGATGTAAATGAATTGATGGGTCTACCATTTAAGGGGGAAGATATTAAAATAAATGTGGAGAATGAAGATGAAACGTTCAAGAAATTAAGGAGTGACTACGGGAAAGTGCCATACAAAACAATAGGAACATGGTTGATTGAAGGAAAAGAGGAAGAAAAGTTTGAATTCCTTTTTGTTATGTATGCACTAGGAGTCCTCTTGTGTCCTGGCTCTAGTGTATGGGTGAGTGATAAAGTGTTGAAAGTCATGGTGGTGACAAAGGATAGTTTAGGACACTATGATTGGAGCAGCTTAGTTTTGAAAGAATTCTGCAACTCAATTGCAGAGTTCAAGAAAGGAAAGAAGAAAGGAAAAGCTGATGGGACGAAAAATGTGGGAGGTTGCATGTACTTCCTAATGGTAAGTGTGGGTATGATTCATTTACTTTGATGTTAGTTTATTGTCAATGTGCTGTGTAGGTTGTGATTGGTTGCTCTGTATGTTGTTATTTACTACTCTGTTGTCAATTGGAGAAATGTACGCTGTCAACTGCTTATGTATAGGTTGTGATTTGCTGGTGTCAAGGTTGTTATAGTACTGTGTGCAGGTTGTTAATGGATTGTGTTGGTTTGTCACCTGGTTATGTATAGGTTGTAATTGCCTTCTGTTCGTGTTGTCATTCGGTTTATCGTGGGTTGTCAATGGCTGCTGTGCATGTTGTGAATGACACAAATGTAGGTTGTGATTAGCTGATGTGTAGGTTGTGACTGTATGGTGTGCATGTTGTCATTTGGTTTAGCGTGGGTTGTTAGTGGCTGCTACTCAGGTCAATGGCCTGTGTTGGTTTGTCACCTGGTTATGTATAGGTTGTAATTGCAGTCTGTTTGTGTTGTCATTCTGGTGAGTATGGGTTGTCACTGGATGCTGTACATGTTGTGAATGGCGCAAATGTATGTTGTGACAGGCTTATGTGTAGGTTGTGATTGGACAGTGTGTATGTTGTTATTTACTACTCTATGTCGTCGAGTTGGGGAAATGTACGCTGTGAACTGGTTATGTATATGTTGTGAGTGGATGGTGTGGAGGTTGTTATTGACCTGTGTGCAGGTTGTCATTGGGCTGTGTTGGTTTGTCACCTGGTTATGTATAGGTTGTAATTGCAGTCTGTTCGTGTTGTCATTCTGTTGAGTATGGGTTGTCACTGGATGCTGTACATGTTGTGAATGGCGCAAATGTATGTTGTGACAGGGTTATGTGTAGGTTGTGATTGGTCACTGTGTATGTTGTTATTTACTACTCTATGTCGTCAGTTGGAGAAATGTACGCTGTGAACTGGTTATGGATATGTTGTGACTGGCTGGTGTGGAGGTTGTTATTTTCCTGTGTTCAGGTTGTCATTAGGATGTGTTGGTTTGTCACCTGGTTATGTATAGGTTGTAATTGCAGTCTGTTCGTGTTGTCATTCTGTTGAGTATGGGTTGTCACTGGATGCTGTACATGTTGTGAATGGCGCAAATGTATGTTGTGACAGGCTTATGTGTAGGTTGTGATTGGTCACTGTGTATGTTGTTATTTACTACTCTATGTCGTCAGTTGGAGAAATGTACGCTGTGAACTGGTTATGGATATGTTGTGACTGGCTGGTGTGGAGGTTGTTATTTCCTGTGTTCAGGTTGTCATTAGGATGTGTTGGTTTGTCACCTGGTTATGTATAGGTTGTAATTGCAGTCTGTTCGTGTTGTCATTCTGTTGAGTATGGGTTGTCACTGGATGCTGTACATGTTGTGAATGGCGCAAATGTATGTTGTGACAGGCTTATGTGTAGGTTGTGATTGGTCACTGTGTATGTTGTTATTTACTACTCTATGTCGTCAGTTGGAGAAATGTACGCTGTGAACTGGTTATGGATATGTTGTGACTGGCTGGTGTGGAGGTTGTTATTTTCCTGTGTTCAGGTTGTCATTAGGATGTGTTGGTTTGTCACCTGGTTATGTATAGGTTGTAATTGCAGTCTGTTCGTGTTGTCATTCTGTTGAGTATGGGTTGTCACTGGATGCTGTACATGTTGTGAATGGCGCAAATGTATGTTGTGACAGGCTTATGTGTAGGTTGTGATTGGTCACTGTGTATGTTGTTATTTACTACTCTATGTCGTCAGTTGGAGAAATGTACGCTGTGAACTGGTTATGGATATGTTGTGACTGGCTGGTGTGGAGGTTGTTATTTCCTGTGTGCAGGTTGTCATTAGGATGTGTTGGTTTGTCACCTGGTTATGTATAGGTTGTAATTGCAGTCTGTTCGTGTTGTCATTCTGTTGAGTATGGGTTGTCACTGGATGCTGTACATGTTGTGAATGGCGCAAATGTATGTTGTGACAGGCTTATGTGTAGGTTGTGATTGGTCACTGTGTATGTTGTTATTGGGCAGTGTGTAGGCTGTGATTGGTCACTGTGTATGTTGTTATTGGGCAGTGTGTAGGTTGTGATTTTCCGCTGTTTATGTTGTCAGTGGCCTGTTTGGATGATGTTGTTGTATATCTAAGTTATCATTAACTTCACATGCAGATTTATTGCCTACAACACTTTCCTCTCGGAAAAGAAAAGGCGGCAAAAAATGAAAATGCCATTACTTATTGGGATGAGGAAAAAGTGAAGGCAAGAGTGAAATCAGAAAAGAATAGCGACAGAGGCATACTGCATGGCGTTCCGAGTGTCGGTGGGGCTTCAACAAGTGCATCCAACACAGGAATAAAGCTAACCCACCCTGTAAGTAAATCATGTGAAGCTTATTTTGGTGCTGTGTAGAATTTGGAGTAATGATAACTTTCATTACTGTTGTTTTGCAGGAAATCAAGAGAACGTATGAAAGGTTGATGACCATGGTTGAAGGGTTGGTGTCGACAATTGGAGAAGAGTTGGTTTCCCTGCAGTTGAGGTTGACGGATGAGATTGACAAGGAAGATGTGGTGGAAGCAGTAAGTAGCGAAGATGACAAAGAGAAGGCAACTGAAGATGAAGAAACCGGTGAAGAAGGTAAAGGAAGCCCAAAAGATTCAATTCTGTCACAAGAGGAACAACAGAGTGAACCAGAAGGAGATGATAAAGAAGAGGGCAAAAGTGCTTCGCGTGAAGAAGAGAGTCAATCTCAACCTGAGGAGAAAGGAGAAGGGAGTCACTCTGGATCAGAGGATGATGGAGAAGAAAAAACACAAGACAAGTCTAGTGATGCAGCAGCAGAAGAGGATAAGGGTGTAGGCGATGAAATGGAGGAAAAGGATGAAATGGACCAGCAAGCACAAGGGCAAATGGATGTAAGAAGATCAACACGGGTGAGAAGCCGTGCAATCAAATCTCCCTGGTTAGAGGAGGTGAAAAAAGGCCGTGGCAAGAGAAAAGCTGACGAGAAAGAGGAATTATTCCAGATGTGCACGAGAAGATGTGATCAAGATGAAGGTGCCAAGTAAGTGTTGGGACTGATTGTAATTGGGACAACTGATTGACAACAATTTTACACATACAACCCTTGTGCTCATTGTTCCTTTTGCTGCAGGTACATTGTAGAGATGTATGGGTACTTCTTGACACGTGCGAGCTTTGCTGCCTACAAGACAGGAAATGGATGAACGACAGGGTAAGACAGTTTTTTATATAGATAGAGAACTGTGAATGTCATTATGATCATGACTAACTGTTTGTATGTGTGATATAGTTCATGTCTATGGTGGCGAGAACCTTGGTGGGAGATGAAAAAGAGAACCACGGTCGTGTCAGTAGGCACATTTTTTCACCCGAGTTAATGCAAACAATGGCCGCTAATCCTCTTAGGTGGAGCCTGGAAAAACATGAACATGAAATCTTACCGGAGCACATAGGATATAACATTGGAGACTGTGACTTCATATTTGGCCCCACCCTTTTCAATTACCATTGGTTCTGTTACGTGATGGATGTAAGAACCATGCGTTTCTATGCCCTTGACTCGTTGGTGGACAATTTGACGATGTTGAGATTACAAAGAGAGGAAGAAGAAGCAATGAAAACAGGGAAGAAACCACAAAGGAAGCAAGGGAAGAAGAGAGGACAGATAGATCCTAAGCAATTCATGGCGAGAGGGATTGTATGCACAACTTTACATTCATTCTATAACTTGTTAATGCGTTATGGTTGCTTGTCTGCTTAACTGTCCTGGTTGTTAATGCCTGCTGATTACTTGTCATTGGCTACAGCGAAGGTTGTTAATGCTTCCTGATAACTTGTCATTCACAACTGTCAAACTTGTTTCTTCTGTTTGTCCCTTTTTTGCAGAGAGATTGTTTCTGCCAAGTGCTTCGTGTGCTGAAGCCATCACTGTTTGCGGAGGAGGACAAGATTGACGAGGAAGTCACATGGGCAAAAGTTCATGTGCAATCTGACACGTGAGTTATTTTTCAGCACAACAAGTACTTGTGTCTCAACTTTTGGGAGCTAATGTTCATTCACTAAAGTACTTGTTTTTCCTTTGTAGGGACTCTTGTGGGGTGCATGTGTTGAGCTGGTTACAAACATGGGACGGCACTGAGTATGGTGATGACGGCTACACAATGCCTAAGTACTCCCCTGAAGAAATCCATGACTTGAAGGTTGGATGCTTGTGGTGGCTCGTGACTCATCGGAACAACCTGCATGGCGATGAAGTGCTGTCTTTGCTGCGAGGAAACCCCCAAAGCAAGAGGAAGAAATAAATGACAAGCATATATTGTATTTACATTTATTTATTTGACAGCATAGTGACATCTGAACGTCAAGTTCACATTTTATTCTTTTCTTTGAGCATGTATGAATCCTGGATGTTAAGATATGTTAATGTGTTTTGATATCCTTTACTGGTTATCAAGTTTTTGTAAAGGCATTCATGTGTTTTCATCATGGCCACAAATGCAGACTGAATAAGACTGGATAAACAAATGGTAACCACGGTGACATGATAGGCATATATCAGAGTCCTCTCTGCCACATCTGTTTACAACCTCAACAGGGGTTGTTCACAACCTCAAAAGGGATTGTTGACAACCCGAACAGAATTGGTTAACAACTCACTCGGGGTATAACACAGCTGTTAACTTAATTATATTATGAGCACATATAACGACCTTAATAGCAAAAATTGGGAGCATTTTAAAGTCATTAACAGCTTTAAAAGAACCAAATCATATTACAGCAGATTTTTATTCCAGCAATTCATTTACAACCTCAACAGGGATTGTTGACAACCCGAACAGAATTGGTTAACAACCTTCGCATTGCCCCTGACAACTGACGCTGGGGATACCACAACCTCCACATGAGATCTAATTCTAACCAAATCATATCATATTATGACTTTAACACAGCTCGAATGTCTTAAGAAATCACTGAACACTGGAAGTAGGAGAAATTGTCACTTTATATCAGTAACATAATTGAGACTGCTAATGACAACCTGCATGGCGTCTGATAACAAGTCCATTACAACCTATTCACCAGTACATCAAAAATACAGAAATGATGTTATATCAGATTACAACCAGGTGTCATTTACCACTTGATATATATATGTACAACATAACTACACCAAATTTACAACCTATTCAAAAAAGCATACGTGTTGCATGTGTGGATAATGACGGACAACTTGAGGTGTAGGTTATGACATTTACAAAAAAAATGCTGTCACAAGCATTCACAAAACGAAATATCAACAAGCCACCAGCAAAGCTCAACTTGGATTGGGGTTCTGGCAAGTCTTCACAGTGTGGCCTGGCTCATGGCATCTTCCACAGTGGTAAAGTTTTTTACTTTGAAATTGAGATTCAATCCTTCTTTTCTTTGGCCTCCCTGAGGGTCTTTTAGTGATTGGTGGCTGTAAAAATGTTCCCGTCATCATCTGCGTAACGGTGAGAGCTTCGGGACGAGGACAATCATGTGTCGCAATTGGCCTCATACTACTTGCATATATCTTCTCTTGGGCTGACAGCTTATAGCAATCATCTACAAATTCATAAACACTACCATGAAGTAGCTTTATCGCTGCACAGGCATGAGCACAAGGTACTCCGCTCATTTGCCATGCTAAACAAGTGCATTTCTGAGCTGTGAGATCAACAGTGACACAAATTATTCCAGTAGGAGATGTAGTATCAACTTGAACTCGGTTATCTCCATAATATACAGTATGCATATTCTCCGCTCTTGCTACTTTTTCTTGCAACTTGGACTCAATATTTGGCCCAACGCCATTTGTCCAATTTTCCATTGCCATTTTGCTTGCAACCATCTTCTTGGCTAATTTCTCCATATGCTCATGTATGAGAACTGACACATTGTGCTTCCTCTCCTTCAAAATCCAGGCATTAAACGACTCCGCAACATTAGTGGTGATGTTATCCCATCGCTTAAACGGGAATTTGCTTAAAGCCCACCGATCTACATCTCCTTGAGTGTCAACCCAATCAGCCAATTGTGGACAGAATGATCTAAGTTTCCCCATTGCAGCAACATATTCATCCTCAATCCTTGCATAGGCGATTCCATCCAGCATTTTCAATGCAACGTCCTTTGAAGTACCTGAAACTCGTCCCCTGCCTCGGTTAATTTTTAAATAATGTGCACTAAAATTTTCTTTCACATGCCTATAACAAAAAGCATGTCTCTCGCCACCAAATATTGTTCGCACAGCACCTATAATGGCATTATTCCGATCTGAAACTATCGTTGTCTCCACTGATCTTGTGATGTCTTTGATGTTCTGGAGAAACCAAGCCCAATCATCATATGTCTCCCCACTAACTATAGCATATGCTAATGGAAATAGTTCATTGTCTGCATCATATGCATTAGCTGAAATCAATGTCCCCCTGTAAGGACCACTTAGATGACAGCCGTCTATATAAAGTATATGTCGACACCCTTCTAAAAATCCATTAATTGAGCATCCATAAGCAATGAACACCCTCTGAAATCTGTTACTATCCAACCCTTCCCATCGAGCACTTGTGTTTGGATCAGTTTCAATGAGCCTTTCACAAATCCAGGGAATCGCCATGTATGAATCCTGTGCACGACCATGTATTTCCCTCAATGCTCTTTCTCTACCCCTGTATGCTTGACTATAATTCAGTCGCACCCCATATTCTCTATACAGATCTCTTCTAAGTTCATTAGCATTCTTGTCTATATTACACCTCAAAGAATCTATCATGATTGATGATGTTAAGTTTGACCCTCTAGAGTGAGATACAACCAAGCTGTCCTGTGCATAATGCACATGCTCACTTCTTAAGGTTCTAATTATTAACAACTCAGAATCTTGTCTTTGTCCCATTGAGTATGCACCCATATACCACGGGCATCCCTCCGCCATACACTTCACAATGATCTTTTGTTGATTGTTCTTCACAAACTTGTATGAAAACTTCACAGCAATACTGTACCTATACAGTGCTTGCCTAAGAGCCACTGCATTAGGAAAAATCTGTCCTTCTCCGATAACCAAACCCTTCCACTTTGTTGAATTCATTTCCGGAATTGGGGTTGGCATCATTTCTGAACCACATGGCAACAATAGTGGGTCTTCACTAACCACATTAGGTGGAGACATGGACAATGTATCTGAACCTCCGAACAAGTCTTCCATCCTACATAACAGAACAGGTCAAGGGGTCGTTAATGACAACCTTCGATCACTATAATAACAACTTATGCACAACAGTTGACAATAGCTAATATTACTTCGAAATTTAAATAACACAACTTACACATGTTGCTCTTCTATTACAACATCCCTTGTTAGTTGTGAATTTTGATCTCCATTTTCTCCTATATATACATGACCACTGTCGCCATTGAAGTTAATCAAATGTTCTACTCCTTCATCATCTACAAGGTCCACAAATGTACACTCATCAAAGGTTACTGTGAATTTCATAACCATTCCATTACTTTCTTTTCCCACAATTGATGCCACCATTGTTCTAAATTCTCCATATGATGTCCCTTCCTTTATCATTCTTGTTCTCACACCACCTCCAACATACTGCGTTTCACCTTCTACACCATTAATAAATTGTCCTCCTATATGGAGGTAGCAAAACAATTGCTTTGCACTGGAAGTTGCCATCCTGGATATCAACCTGCCACAATCACTTGTTAATAACAAGTCATACAGTTATGTTAACAACCTTCGATGTACCCATTAACAACACATTTAACCATCGCATTTGAGGGGTTACAATAATAAATATCTGTCATTTTCCACTCATTTCCATCAGCAACACAGCATCATTGCCCGAAAAACAGAGCATCATTCACCGAAAAACAGAGCATTGCTTTCTAACCATAGCCACACATAGTAAAACCACACCTAACATGATTAAAACCACATATGACTAAAATGAGCCTCCCTTGATATTTCTAGAGAGCTGAATCACATGCTTAATACCAACGTATAAACACCCAATCAACTTTTCAGACCAGCATTAAAGCTGCGACTGGTTGTTAATAACAAGTCATACAGTTATGTTAACAACCTTCGATGTACCCATTAACAACACATTTAACCATCGCATTTGAGGGGTTACAATAATAAATATCTGTTATTTTCCACTCA